CCCCGGTGTTAGACCACCCAATACATGGCCTAGAACATACCTCATACTGTGATCTTTGGGACGGTGTTACGAATGTTGAAGGTGGTGGACTTGATCTAAAGGGACAGGAGAAAACATGCATAGTGACTTTTGCTACAGCAGATACATAATTATATTGGAGTTCACGTGATACAACTACTGAGATAGACAAAGGGCGTCCTGGATAGCGTCATGTCGGTGGATTCGGTCGCCACCGGTGAGCAGAAAAAAAAGAGTTTTCCAGGTTGTAGTTTGCCTTTGCTTTGACCTCGTTGTTGACAAGCATACACAACCTATCAGCCTCAGCTTGCTGTACAGATGAAGGCTGAGACTAGAACTAGACTAAGGTAGTGAGAAGAACGTATGTATCTATGCACCTATCAGCCTCAGCTTGCTGTGCAGATGAAGTCTGAGACTAGGACTGGACTAAGCCAGTGAGAAGAACGTATGTATCTATGTACCTATCAGCCTCAGCTTGCTGTGCAGATGAAGGCTGAGACTAGGACTGGACTAAGGTAGTGAGAAGAACGTATGTATCTATGTACCTATCAGCCTCAGCTTGCTGTGCAGATGAAGTCTGAGACTAGGACTGGACTAAGCCAGTGAGAAGAACGTATGTATTTATGTACCTATCAGCCTCAGCTTGCTGTGCAGATGAAGTCTGAGACTAGGACTGGACTAAGCCAGTGAGAAGAACGTATGTATTTATGTACCTATCAGCCTCAGCTTAATGTGCAGATGAAGTCTGAGACTATATAAGGTAGTGAGAAGAACGTACGTATTTATGTACCTATCAGCCTCAGCTTGCTGTGCAGATGAAGTCTGAGACTATATAAGGTAGTGAGAAGAACGTACGTATTCACCTATCAGCCTCAGCTTGCTGTGCAGTGAGGGCATCGTAGCAGGATATGCAGACTCTGAGAGGTCGCTCTGCCTGGTAGGATAAGAGGAACTTTCTGTTGGAGCAGGCTCCACACACAACTGCACCACACTTCCGACAGTGATGCTATATATGTACAGAGAGAGAGAGGGAGGGAGGGAGGGAGGGAGAGAGAGAGGTAGAGAGAGAGTATGTGGTAAAGAGAAAGGGTTAGTAAAAGAAGAGGAAATGAGAAGTAACAGAGAAAATGCAAGAAGGCTTGAACTGTTTACACGGTCATTTTATCACCTCTCAATCACAACCACACACACTAAAGAAAACACAAGTAGTTGTCGTAATCTTTGACTCAAAAACACTCTGTGTATATACCTCCCAAAAGTGTACACATGTCCACTGGAAGCAAATGACTCCAAATTCAGCCACAGTTCGACAATCGAATGTGAAAATCTCTTTCGATTCGCCGCGTTTCCGTGGCCGCAAGCACATGTGCCTATACACCTACACCTTACAAGAGCCAGTGTCACGAGGAGCCACCGAGGGCCAAGGTGTTCCAGGTACATAAGTCTGTCTTGCATTTTAACTGGTCTTCAGCTTTTTCCCACGCCAAAACGCCACATGGAACGGACGTGGCAGCGCATACCACACTTTACCTTCGTTCAAAATTATGCGTATACAGCAAAATCACGCATTGCGTGGGCAGAATGTGGTCCAGATAATGTCCTCATTTCTAATACCAATACCAATACATTTCTCTGACAGGTTGGCAACTGCACCACTGGAATATGTAGTGAGCCGCGTGTCAATATCAGGGGATACACAGACGCTGCAATGTCGCAACAACTGATTCAAGGGATTGCATCAGTATTGTGAACCTGTTACTTAAGGGCCCCAGACATGTGTACGAGACATGTTTGCATTCCGGCTTTCCAGTTGGGTCTTGTGGCTCTCAACCATTAATATGGCATTGAGGTTGACAGGTACGTATGTATTCCTAGGTTGGAGTTGTTAACGCATGAGGGACATACACGTTTGTGTACATGAAAGAGATGGCTGAAAACTCACTCTTCTGTTGATGGGTGTGAACTTTGTCTTGAGGCAGTGCATACACGTCGAGGCATCGCCGTCCGGTACCCAGACCGCCGCATGTTCCGTCGCTGGCATTTTGTTGGCTGTGGGAGAGGAAGGGGGAGGAGGGAGAAGGGGGAGAGGGGGAGAGTAGGGGAGGGAGAGGGGAGGGAGAGGGGGAGATGGGGAGGGGGGAGTAGGGGAGGGAGAGGGAAGGGGAGGGGAGGGAGAGGGGGAGAGAATGGTAAAGAGAAGGGCAGAAAAGAACGAGTAAAGTGGAAGAGTGACGGTGAAATAAGTTGTGAGTGAGGGAGACACAGGAGAGTAGAAGAAGGGGGGCGTGCTCAGCACAAGTTACTGGAGAGCAAAGCAAGCCTACCTACTAACCGACATCTTTGCAACTTGACCGCAACAATTGCATAAAAGGTGGTTTAACAAAAAAGTTGAATTTTACGACTTGCGTATGTTCACTTGCCAAAAGTGTGTTACGTTGGTTCTAGTAATCCTACAGTGTTACATAGTAATCCTGACCTACAGTGGAGGTGGTGGGATCTTAAGTGTCCAGTAATGCCACAAAACAGGAAGTGACGTCATTGCCTCAGTCTTAACCCTAATACCATACTATGTACTTAGTAACCAATAACGATGTATTCTGTTACCATAGCCCTAGCCCCACCCCCTTTAGGCTAGTCACTGGACAACCCTCGGTGGGATGACGTGACTAAAGAGTAACCTAAATTATTAGGCAAACCAGTGATGGGGGGATAAGGTCACGAAGGAGAAAACTAGAAGAAGAGCACAGTGCTCGCCCTGCAGGAGTTGCTATAGACTGGAGAGTGACACACGAACTGAGTGTAAATGTAAGTGCTTCGTCCGCAGGAGTGCTATAGACTGGGAGAGTGACAACGAAACTGAGTGTAAATGTAAAGTGCTCGCCTGCAGGAGTTTGCTATAGACTGGAGAGTGACACACGAACTGAGTGTAAAGGTAATGCTCGCCCTGCAGGAGTGCGATAGACTGGAGAGTGACACACGAACTGAGTGTAAATGTAAGTGCTCGTCCGGAGTTGCTATAGACTGGAGAGTGACACACGAACTGAGTGTTGTAAATGTAAGTGCTCGTCCTGCAGGAGTTTGCTATAGACTGGAGAGTGACACACGAACTGAGGTGTAAATGTAAATGCTCGCCCTGCAGGAGTTGCTATAGACTGGAGAGTGACACACGAACTGAGTGTAAATGTAAGTGCTCGCCCTGCAGGAGTTGCTATAGACTGGAGAGTGACACACGAACTGAGTGTAAATGTAAGTGCTCGTCCTGCAGGAGTTGCTATAGACTGGAGAGTGACACACGAACTGAGTGTAAATGTAAGTGCTCGCCCTGCAGGAGTTGCTATAGACTGGAGAGTGACACACGAACTGAGTGTAAATGTAAGTGCTCGCCCTGCAGGAGTTGCTATAGACTGGAGAGTGACACATGAACTGAGTGTAAATGTAAGTGCTCGCCCTGCAGGAGTTGCTATAGACTGGAGAGTGACACACGAACTGAGTGTAAATGTAAGTGCTCGCCCTGCAGGAGTTGCTATAGACTGGAGAGTGACACACGAACTGAGTGTAAATGTAAGTGCTCGCCCTGCAGGAGTTTGCTATAGACTGGAGAGTGACACACGAACTGAGTGTAAATGTAAGTGCTCGTCCTGCAGGAGTTGCTATAGACTGGAGAGTGACACACGAACTGAGTGTAAATGTAAATGCTCGCCCTGCAGGAGTTGCTATAGACTGGAGAGTGACACACGAACTGAGTGTAAATGTAAGTGCTCGTCCTGCAGGAGTTGCTATAGACTGGAGAGTGACACATGAACTGAGTGTAAATGTAAATGCTCGCCCTGCAGGAGTTGCTATAGACTGGAGAGTGACACACGAACTGAGTGTAAATGTATCATGTTAAACTGTACCCGTATACTTATTTCAGGGCATTTTGTGGGACTGTACAAAACATGCATGAAAGGTGAGAGGTAACACGAGCTGTGCTGAACTCACTCTTGGCCAGGAGATCCACGATACACTTGTTGATGTGAGCCATCCATTCCGCCTTCTCTGTCGGAGTTGCTGCAAAGACGGCAAAAGACTTCTTGGGAGAGATCACCTGCCATCCATTCTTCCAGGCTGAGTGTATGAGAGATGGAGGGAGGGGGAGAGAGGGAGGAAGGGAGAGAGGGAGAGAGGGAGGGAGGGAAGGAGGAAGAGGGTATGATGTAGAGCAGTAGGAAAATAGTGATTTCACGAATCAGCGAAGATTGTACAGTAAGTATTGCACACACATTTGGGAGTACGTTTGCCAGTTGATAGCTGTTGGTAAAAGGTTCAATGTTCATGCAAAAAACATGGGCTGCTTATTTGCACAGAACTCCTTTTGGAAAGGGGGTGGGTAATGCAGCAGCGCCCTCTATTCAAAATTGTGGAGGTAAGGTCTTGTCATATCATAACATCCTCCTTCCAGAGAAACGTGAATAGAGCGATTACTCTCCGTGATTGTTGTGTGCATACACCCTCAGCCCCCATACAAAAAGGAGGCTGCTTGTCTGCCTAAAAAGGAGACCACCTCCAGTACCACCGAATGGCCGTACAATGTGTCAGTCCCTAATTGAACCTACCGACTATATAGGAACGGTAGAGGTATGTGCAGTGTGTGAGGTCAGGTCTACAATTACACATGCACACCATAGATGTCTGGGTTAGTTAATCTCAGTTAATTCATAGTAGTGCAATTTATATGTACATCTGTGTAGAATTACAGTAGGAACCCTCTCATCAGAAAGTTTTCATAAATTAAAGCTTACAAATGCGAATTTCTAAGTTCGTAATTCGATGGAAAATTTGTGGAGAAAAGTTTCATGGATTTGCTTGTCAAGTTACGGAAAAACTTTGCAAAAGGCTCCCAAACTTTGGATCTCACGTACACAAGTTTCATGTCACTATAATTATCGATAGATAACGCTTATCTCTGCAGAGATGGCCTTTACACCAATTCAGTGTACAATTATATACTGATTTGATGTGTTCATTCTCCAAATCGAAGGGCCGACAACCAGAGTGGTATGTATATCCCAAAATTAAGTACGGCAAATTGCCTAAAGAGTGCGAAAATGGGGGAAAATAATGGGTAGGGTACACTTAAAAAAGTGAGATATAATTATGGGATTCTGCAAAAAGATTGTCTCCTTCCAAAACGAATTTTTATGGTAACTTCATGTCAAGGGGGTATAAATGGCCCTTTGTGGGTTACACCATTCTGGTTATCTAACGGCCCTTCAATTTAAATATGTATGCACAGCGGTAATAGTTAGAGAGTGAGTCTGTCAATTCTATATGAGCCCGAGGGTCCTTGGATTATGTGTGTGCAGCAAGCACGCTACGTGAAGGGCCCGAGGGTGCCTGTCTATGCATGAAGACATTAGATCATGTGATCATGTATACATATGTCACAAACAAGTTTATTTAGAGAATTGAGTTAGAGAATTGACACGTCATGATTTTAAGCGCACGGTACGCCAGGGTACTTACGTAAGTAATTCACAAGAACTTGGAAATCTAGAAAACACTAAACCTGGACTGAGTGAGCTCTAAGGATACCCCATGAGAGAAGGACACCAGAACAGTTTTAACACCTGAAATAAGGACACCTCACTAATATGGACACTTTCTTCAGTCCCATCCCATTCATTAACCCTCGCCTGCACGCATGCGCAGCGAGGGTTATTGCAGTCGGTCTGTCTGTGTGTGAGTGTGTGTGTGTGTGTGTGTGTGCGTGTGTCCGTCCGTCCATCCGTCCGTCTGTCCACCGTTTTTCTCGGTAACCGCGGCAACTCTGAGCATGAAACGTGGACATATTTTCAACTAGGAGGAATGCATGGTAAAATAAGATTCTGGAGCGGAGAAGCCCGGGGAAGCTGGCGAAACGGAGGGCTGCCGAGGTGAGTGTGCGTCAAATAGAGATCGCGAACCATCGTTGTGCTTAGATGCTAGATGCTTTGCGCATGTGGAGAAGATTTGCTGGTCTGCCTGTATTGATGGTACAGTTGAGTAGGATCGAGATTGCCGGTGAAGTGAGAGCAGCACACGCCCCAGTGAATCCGTTCAGTGAAGGAGTCACTGAGGTAGTGTAGCTAGTATGTAGTGGTGAGGGTTGTCAAGACCAGTACTTTTCACTTTGCTGTAGTAGTAACTAGTATTGAACGTGCATGTGCCAGAAACTGACGTAGTGTAGCTAGTAGCCATTGGCTGCTGAAATAAAGAATAGTGGCGAGGGTTATGCACTTTCAAGTGCTTTTCATTTATAGGTGGATTGATTATTTGATACATGGCATGTGATGTCAGTGAGGCATGTGATATAATTATGATAGTCTTACGTCCATCATTCTCCAGTGACTGAAGTTTGACATCTTCGAGTGGAATAATGTGCTGCTTGTTGTACTGGGAGAGAGGAGGAAGGAGAGGGAGAAGGGGGAGAGAGGAGGGAGGGAGAAGGGGGAGAGAGAGGAGGGAGAATGGGGAGAGAGGAGGGAGGGAGAAGGGGGAGAGAGGAGGGAGGGAGAAGGGGGAGAGTGGGGGGGAGAAGGGAGGGAGGGAAAGAGAAGGATTGGGAGGAAGAAGAAGGGGAGGGAGGAGAGAGAGAGAGAGAGGAGAGCAGAGTTTGAAGAAGGGAAGGAAGATTGGACAGAGAAAAGGAGAGAGGGAGGAGAGAGGGGGACAAGGGGGGAGGAGGGGGTAGGGGGAAAGGTTTAATATTGCATAACGTGAAAAATGCAAAAGTTGCTGGTGATTTTCACCTTCTTTTTGTCAATGACGATGTTTCCATATACAAGAGCATCATTGAAGAGAAAAAACTGAAGAGAAAGAAAAAGACAGAGTGTATGTTTGTCAGGGTAATGTGTACATTCAGACACATACAACATTCAGACACATACAACATTCAGACATGCCATGAAACGAACACCAATGATCTGCAATGACCTGGCTAACTAACCTGCCTCGGTTTGGCTTTCTTGCGACACAGTTTAGTCAACACGCCCTCTCCTACGAGCACCCTCCCAACCTTTATCAGAGACTGTGGAATCAACAGAAACATAGACACGAAACGGAAATTAACCACTAACAATGACACACATCGTGTACATGTCATCACATGGTCTAATGTCTTAATATCTTCATGTAGGAATAGACATGTAGAGTGTGGGCAGGGTGGTAATTTTCTGGGGGAGGGGGGAATTTCAGTTCAAATCAATATTCAAGTGAGAGTACCTGTCTTTGTGTGTGAGAATAGTGTACAGTTGAACCTCCGAACAAGGGACACTATGGGACCAATGACTTTGTCCCTTGTAGAGAGGTCGTACCTATCTCGGAGGTTATGCTGAAGTATTAGCATGGACATGAAACAAATTCCCCTCGTAGAGAGGTCGTCCCTATCTTGGAGGGACTCTTATTGGAGGGTCCACTGTATATACATAACCATGCACCCCACTATGTTTCGATTTCCCCTCCCCCTCCTAGGAAAAAAACATCAGTCTGATTGGAAACTGTTGTGTATTCAAAATTTATTTGCGTATGTTATTTCCGATTATACCTGTCCATTCGCCATCGGGTTTTTCAGGGAATGCAGTGACAGTAGTGTACGTTGTACCCCCATAAGTTTATCAAAGAACCTATTTCCTTCCCCCCACCATCTACAAATAATGCTAATCGATGGGAACATTTTTGCACGAAACTAATCCTTGTGCCATATTATCCCTTACCTGACCACTGGATCCAAAGCATTGTTCAACGATGTGTATCCTCCTGGTGTTGGCCTCACTGTGCACTGCACGTGAGAGAGAGAGAGAGAGAAAATTAAGGCGAAGAGCAAGAAAATATTGTGGTTCTAGCAATGTGTGCGCAAGTAATTACGCCCACCTGCACACATGCACTAGCCCCCACTCTGTTACCCCAGCTTCAGCTATAAACTACTTACAACCGTGGAAACGAACCGTGGTACATTGTACCTCGGGCTAACCATTACCTACTAGTCCTACAGCTAGGCTGAGCCTCTGCAAAACACCCACTCTTTATATATGGTCGGGTCTAAGGCTTTAGCAACGTCTTTCGCGCATTATTAGCCACTGTACCTTACATAAACGATTGCCTTAGCTAGAGTGGTATGAACGAACACGACGGTGAACGGGCACCCAGCCTCTCATCGCTGAACACCAAATGGCATTTGCACCGCTTGCTGTCCGTTGAAGCGTCGCTGGAAGACAGTCTCACCCAGTCTGTCAACCATCTTGACTCCCCGCTGAACGCGGCCCCTCCGTCTTCAACCAGCAGGAGGGCAGCTTTACAGGCTCGGCTAGCTGGAGACGTTCACAAAGACACAATTAAGAACACACACACACACACCGCCGGACGGCAAGAAGGATCACGTGGAATTCGTGACGTCATAGGGTGGGAGTGTCTTTCATGAATACGTAGCATGGCTGCCAAAGGAAAAGGAGAAGGGGGGAGAAGGAGCCTGAATTTCAATGTGGGAATACTAGGTCACATTGACAGTGGGAAAACCTCTTTAGGTATGTTGTGTAAGCACCTACAGCATTGTACATGTACAGCATCAGTTTTTCCTCCTGTTTCTGCAGCCAAAGCCCTCAGCTCAGTTGCGTCCACTGCCTCTTTCGACAAAAACCCCCAGAGCAGAGAAAGAGGGATCACTCTGGACCTCGGTAAAAAACCCCCCTCTCTTTGCCATCAGTTCCAAAATTATGCTTGTGTCTTTCCTTTTCCTTACCTAAACAAACAGGGTTTTCCTCATTTTCAATGCCGGTTCCTGCTCATCTTGAAGGTACGTCGAGCAGTCTAAAACAGACAGACACCTATGGAATGAAAGCAGTGTGTGTTTGGCGAGCGAATGCGAGAGTAACAGGCATGTAACGACTGCAAATTTTCAGGTATGCCTGCGTTTATTTAGAACGGTAAGGTTGGCATCAAACAAATTAATGCTATTTAGACGACTAATAGAGAGATGCCCAGACAATCATTATTACGTCTGTGTGTCTCTTCCGTGCAGGGGGAGGATATGAAGATGTGCAGGTAACACTGGTGGACTGCCCTGGACATGCTTCACTTATTCGGACCATCATTGGAGGCACGTGTGTGTACAAAAGAAAGTTCTATATATGCATGTATCAATGACAAGGTAGCAAGGCAAACACACCCAGATGCATACGACTTTTCTTTTGCCATTGAATATTATACCAAAACTATGGCATTTTGTACTGTAGAGGTTTTACTGGTCGTACGCAGAAAAATAAAAAGTGACCACGGCGTGATTCGAACACGCAACCTTCTGATCTGGAGTCAGACGCGCTACCATTGCGCCACGCAGTCAGATACAACATAGCAACAACCTTTTTTGAATCACACCTTGAATGCAAATATAGAACCCTACACTATAATAGTAGAACCCCTCTAATCAGGCACCCCTGAAATGAGGACACCTCACCTCCCAATGCCTTTTCTTCCACCAAGAACAGTTATTGCATGCAAATTAACTCCTGAAATATGGTCACATAAGAACGCTTATTTCTGTACCATTGGTGTCCAAATTGAAGGGGTTCCAGTCTATTATAGTAACTGGCGGAAGATCTGCATTTGAGGGAATGTGTTTTGTTCAATGTTGATTGGGCCCAGTCCAAGAATGCAATTAGGTTTCCATTTTCTGCACTTAGCCCCTTATATACTTCCACATTCTCTTTAATCTCTGATTACTTTGCAGGTGCCCAGATCATAGACTTCGTGATTCTAGTGGTCGATATCACAAAAGGCATCCAAACCCAAACTGCTGAGGTAAATGCACACTGTAGGTATATACGTATGTAGTCAAATATTAAAGTTGTATAGCATATATGCTGCAAGAACATCATGGGTTTAACTCTCTTGGTGCCACGGGGATATATTATATGCACTCAATGGGGTTAAAAAGTGATGAGGCTGGGATTCATACTCGGGTCCTATGCTTGCTCAACATTTAGCCTCCAGGCCATGCCGTACATTGTGGTGTGGCCCTAACACGAAGTATGACTTTATACCTTACACCTAACAAAGGTGTAACGCATTATGTGAGAGTCAATATCCTAAACAACACGTCTAGTGTATGATAGGGACCTTCTAGTATGGAATGTATACAGTGGAACCTCCGATAAGGGACAACCTCTTTATAAAGGACACCTGTTCCAACCCCATGCTAATAGTGTATTAATTGACCTCCGAGATAAGGACAACCTCTCTACAAGGGACAAAACCGCCCCCATAGTGTCCCTTGTTCGGAGGTTCCACTGTAGTAAGAGAGGTTCTCTGTGTGTGTGTTTGCAGTGTCTGGTGATAGGAGAGATCACCTGCAGTCATCTGATGGTAGTACTCAACAAGACGGACCTCACTGAGGAGAGCAAGAGGGACGCACACATTTCAAAGGTATATATACATCACTAAGTAAGTACAGTAGCGGTAGTGGTGACACAGGTTACCAGCATAATGCCGATACATTTGAGATTTTCACGTTTCAGTTTTACATATTCTCATTGTACCAGGCTGTCAGGTACTCTTGTAAGCTGCAGTTTGGAAATACGCCCCTTTACATTAGTGTGCATACTCTATTGGTTGCATACATTACTGTGCATGCTCCAATTGGTTGCATACATTACTGTGCGTGCTCCAATTGGTTGCATACATTACTGTGCATGCTCCTTTTGACATTAGTGTGCATACTCCTTACATTACTGTGCATGCTCCTTTGGTTGCATACATTACTGTGCGTGCTCCAATTGGTTGCATACATTACTGTGCGTGCTCCTTTGGTTGCATACATTACTGTGCATGCTCCTTTGGTTGCATACATTACTGTGCATGCTCCTTTGGTTGCATACATTACTGTGCATGCTGCTTTGGTTGCATACATTACTGTGCATGCTCCTCTGGTTGCATGCATTACTGTGCATGCTCCTCTGGTTGCATGCATTACTGTGCATGCTCCTCTGGTTGCATACATTACTGTGCATGCTCCTTTGGTTGCATACATTACTGTGCGTGCTCCTTTGGTTGCATACATTACTGTGCATGCTCCTCTGGTTGCATGCATTACTGTGCATGCTCCTTTGGTTGCATACATTACTGTGCATGCTCCTCTGGTTGCATGCATTACTGTGCATGCTCCTTTGGTTGCATACATTACTGTGCATGCTCCTCTGGTTGCATGCATTACTGTGCATGCTCCTCTGGTTGCATGCATTACTGTGCATGCTCCTTTGGTTGCATACATTACAGTTCATTTTCATAGTGTACTAGGATATTCTTATTGAAAGCTATATACCCCTTAGGAGTGAGTAGTCCCCAAGTATATCCAACTCCCTTGCCCATGTGAATACATTTCAAAGATAACCAGTGGAACCATTCTCTAAAGACACCCCTGAAATAAACATCCCAGTAAGGACACCTCTTTCCGTTCGTAAGGATCCAAAGAGCACACACTAGATGTACTACACACATGTGGAGGGTGTTTGTATGTTTTTCGTAGCTCTTTTGTTTAATGCACTTCAAAGTGTTAGTGTGTTGTGTAACTCTTTTTGCTTGTGGCACTGGAAGATGACAAAGAGGATATCAAAGACTCTGGAGTCCACTGCCTTCTCTGGGGCTCTAGTGGTGCCAGTGGCCGCCAAGCCAGGCGGCCCAGACGCCCCTCCCTCCCAGACAGCTCACGGTATTGACAACCTTGTCCAGGTATAGTGTGTAAAGTGTTAGTGTGTTGTGACCCTTACCTAGTACCCTATTTCTGTAAACTTACAGTTGAACCTCCGAACAAGGGATACTATGGGGTGAATGATTTTGTCGCTTGTAGAGAGGCCGTCCCCATCTTGGAGGTCATGTGGTACACTAAAGTACTAGCGTGGGGTTGAAACAAGTGTAGAGAGATGATCCCTATCTCGGAGGGTCCCTTATTGGAGGTTCCACTGTATTTCACTCGTGCATCACATGGTCTAATATCTTCGTGTAATATACTGAGAGTAAGAAGGGTGAGTATGAACAGCCTGATCGGTCAAGATGGCTTTCGAAACTATCATGACACTTGCTCACACGTCAAGCGCCGTCTCCCTGAGCGATAAGAACCGTTGTTGTGAGCGCAGGGACGTTACAAGTGTGCAGAGTGGAACCTCTCTCTAAGGCCACCCCTCAAATGAGGAACAGTGCAAGAGTGCAATTAAGTTTCCATTTTTGGTAACAGTTTCTAAATGTAGCCCTTACATACTGTCAATGTTCATGGTGTATACCTCGCCCTCGCCTACAACCCCCCCCCCCCATACAATCAGCTGGGTTCTTTCACAAATTCTGTGCATAAGAAGATTGTAATCCACAAACAAGGGGTAGTTCGTAGTGATCTCGGATTTACTTAGGCTAACCAAACCAGCATGTCGTGCAACCACAGCAAGAGGAGTCAATGGTTAAATGTATCACCTACCACATGTGAACGGGGATCTGCAATGGTTCATTCAGAACTATATTGTATCATATTGTGCTGGTATATACTGTGCTTTGTGTAAATGCAGTATTAGCAGGCAGCGAGCATTTCCCCTCCTCTATGGCATAGAAATCCATCGCTTAAAATGTACATCATCTGGGAAACCGTTCATTACAGCACCATGCTTACTCTCATATTTATGCCAGTAGCTACAGTGTACGTGAAATTTTTTAGTTCGTAGGGAATATATCCTTTCTGTTCGTTAACTAACCCTTGCCAGTATTATACTATTTACATGTCCCTGTCCTCATTGAGTAATGGAGACAGACAGTCTTCTTGGTCGCTGGCACCTGCTGCCTCTCGAAGCTTCCGTGTTCTGTATCTCTCTGTCAAAGCCGCACAGGAGCTCTTGCTGCACTTGACACACAGCCTGGCCAGACGCAGGCAAACGTATAGGTGATGCAGAGCGGAGGCACGGATAGTGTCACTAGACAGGATATTCCGCCGAGAAAGTTCTCTGCCTGTGTGTGCTGCTGCTCAAAGGACATGGTGGACACGTAGAACAGCAGGGCCAGAGAGAGCCACATAATGTGCAGGTTGTTGTGTTTCTCCACGCGAAACGGGCGACACACGCGAAAATCACTAGAAATGCCAAGATAACCCAAGCCGTGGTCCAGAGTTCCAAGAAGAGCATTTGGTTGACCAGTGACAGAAAAACGGCAGCCATAAACACGAGGTTACCTCCGGCAAAGTATCGGTAGTCTCGTGTGCCCCCGTTCGTTCCATTCTTATACGACCCCTGAAAAGTGTCCATGAAGATGTGGAGCGCCTGGAAACTGATATTGCAGTGGTTCAAACAGCGCTGGAAGCAGCGACAAGGATAGAGACATAGCAGTAGAACCGGCAGAAAAGTAAACGTAACTAAACTCACAACAGCCAGTAGAGCATAGGGTAAATGCTCGCTGCCCGGGTATTCTGTGGTGCCACTCTTCCATGTCTAGAATGAGTGCCGGGAACAGGAGGGTGAACGAAACACTCAGAAACTTGATGTAGGAGAGGAGCAGGAAGGTTGCAAAGGCATCTATGAGGGACGTCTGGAGGTTCCAGGATCTGGTGAATGCCGCACAGCACTTTTGGAGGGGGCCCCTCCATATCCACACAATCGGGGCACAGTTGTGGTAGTGCAGCTGTACCACGACGTACGTGAGGCCTATTACAAGGAGTGGAGACACAGCGGTGATGTAGTCGAGGGCTAGGATCTGGAGTGAGGTGGCGTCGGGGTGGAGGCAGAACGGACCGTAGATTAACCTCAAGAAATCCAGGTTCCATATGCTGTGGAATGTGAACAACCCCTTCAGTAGTTTTATAATTGCCCTATCGCTGGAAAATGGATCTGATCTGAAGTTGTATGCCAGAATAGCGCCCAATCGAAGCACGGGCGGCGGAGTTATCAACTGGCTGTAGAGAATGAATCCGTTGAGAGTTGGAGAAGTAGCTCGTAGTCTCAGCACTAGTACAGTCAGGAAGAAGGCAGTCTGGGGAGCGAGAGAGAGAGCCAGATACTTGCCCCAGTTGTCGGTGTCGTCGGTGCAGTTCACACACTGTGGGTGATAGGTTAAGACTGGAGGAGAGTAGCCGGGAATACAGTCCCCGCACAGCTGACCGGTTCTCTGGTAGGCGCCGCACATGGCACTGTCTACCAGCCCGGGGTCCTGGGGTAGGACGAAGTAGAACGGATTTGACTTGGTGTGGTAGTTCAGCATGTTGTACTGGCAGGTTCCGACGATGAGTGTCTGGTTGTCCAATGCCGCAGGAGTGATGCAGAAACCGTGCAAGACTGCGACTTGAAAGTTTTTGTCGTGGTCCGAACAGAGTACGAGAGATGATCCGTACAGGACTCCGCAGGTGCACTTGCCTGTACGTGGGCTCCTGTACTTCCAGGTGGTGCAGGCGGCGTTTTTCAGTCCCGACCACTCGACTTTGCTTCCATCTTCCTCTTGGTCATCAGTGGTTGAATGAGCTTTTCCAGAGCAGCTTAATAAAACAGTCAGAAGAAGCAGCAAAAGCATATTCTGGTCTCTCTTGCTAAGCGGTTGTGTGAGTGCAACTGATAATGTACTTGCACAAAAATGAAAGTGCAGGTGTCTCTTGCATTCTTTGGTCTCACTAAAAATACCAGACATTTTTCTGGTGCCTCGTGCCATAAACAAACAATACGTTTGTCACAGCAACTTCAGAGCATGCAATACTGGCTCTCAAATTTCAAAATATCTACAGTATTACTGTTGAAGGTTTCTTAACTAGGCATTTTAGCTTTCAGGTTTCTGCACACTTGTCTTAACACTTAACCAGCCACGGAAACAAATGTGTCCAGAGCCTCCATAGTCCATAAGAATTTATATAGGGGTACATCATTTTCTGCTTATTTAAGAAGATAACCATAGCGTCCAAAGGGTTTTAAGTACTATTCAACACTTGCGGTGCTAACATCTGTGTCAGGTGGTTTTCTTGCTCATCTTAGGTGCTGTCGTCAAAGGTGTTTGTACCGGAACGGTCCGCGAGTGGGCCGTTTGTGTTCTCTGTGGACCACTGTTTCCCCATCCGTGGTCAGGGTACGGTCATGACCGGCACGGTACTCAGTGGATCCGTGGCACTCAATGACGTGAGCTCCGGCAACCAACTCCTACGTATATAGATATCAGTCTATTTGTGCTTTTATTCCTGCAGACTATTGAGATTCCGTTCCTGAAGGTTACAAAGAAGGTCAAATCGATGCAAATGTTCCACAAACCGGTTCAGACTGCCATGCAGGTATATACAAACACACATTCGGATGGATACATAATATAGCAGTCTCTTTAGACAGTAAATGAGTAGTGTAAACTTTTAACTCTTGCTATATACTTTGTCGCAGTTTACTATATAGCTATATACCTGCGAAAGAGATTTTTTTGGACAGGGGCATTGCTATTGCAGGACCAGTAAACTGCGAATGTTTCTCTGCACAATTCACGTTTGCTACCGAACAATTTCCCCTCAAAATGTAATGTTTCCCTCATATACGGTATTTGGTATAGAGCACAATGTCTCTGCTTGTTCATAGAACCTTTGATCATTATACAAGTGGAAAAATCCTTCCTTCAATGTAATGTTTTCCCTATATATATGTATAGGTTTGATGGTGGCAGGTGTGCTCTATGAGCGCGCAGCGCGAATAGAGCATACTTGCCGTCATCAAACCTCATAACGCGTCGTTGCCGGGTAACGTGTACCAAATATATATATATATAGAGTATTTGGTTTAGAGCACAGTGTCTCTGCACATTCATAGAACCTTTGATCATTATGTGTTGCGTATAACTCTAGGGAGACCGCGTAGGAATATGTGTGACTCAGTTTGACCCAAAGCAAGTGGAGAGATGTCTAGTGGCCGCTCCTGGCTATCTCCCCACTCTGGAGGGTGAGAGTTTTTACTACCGTATAAAACTAACCTTTTGTGACAGAAAAACTTTGCTTAAAGCAGGGTGAGCATTTTAATTGCCACTTTATAACTAAAACTGTTGTAACAAAAAAAACGGTGTGAAAAACATAAAAAGCAACTTTCCTTTAACAATCACTGTCGTGGCATTGTAAACCCACACCAATTCGCAGAGTTTTTGTCGCCAAGTTTCAGTATGCAGGTTTGTAGTAAACACCGTGCCAGACTAGTGATTTTTCTCTTGTACTGTGTATATGTGCCAGCCGGAATTGCTCAGGTTCACAAAGTGTCATATCACAAGTTCCCGTGCACAACTGGAGCAAAGTTCCACGGTGAGCTAGCCTAGCATTTGAATATATATACAAATGCATCAAGTGTAAGCAGAAATGGAACACGCTTAACAACACATAGTTACATGGTTATTTGTTAACTTGATGCAGTGTGCATAAGGTTCCGTTTTTACGTGCAGGGATTTGGCGACTGAAGCGAGCCCACCTAGTTGTCTGAATGCGCATCACGCAAAATATTAAACTGCTCGCGAATCACGCAAAATATTAAACTGCTCGCTTCGCTCGCCAAAAATGTTTTGCATTCATTCTAGCATACTTTTACCTGTATATGTGGGTGCTGTGAGTAATATTAGTTCAGCCAGCCGTGTGCATGCAGTTACTATTAGTTCAGCCAGCCGTGTGCATGCAGTTACTATTAGTTCAGCCAGCCGTGTGCATGCAGTTACTATTAGTTCAGCCAGCCGTGTGCATGCAGTTACTATTAGTTCAGCCAGCCGTGTGCATGCAGTTACTATTAGTTCAGCCAGCCGTGTGCATGCAGTTACTATTAGTTCAGCCAGCCGTGTGCATGCAGTTACTATTAGTTCAGCCAGCCGTGTGCATGCAGTTACTATTGGGCACGAGACTGTCATGGGAAAGGCAACGTTCTTCAGTGGACCGCTGCCAGTGAACAGAGAGTTTGACTTGGAGGCAGAGTACCCCTTTCTTGAGGAGCTACCTGACAGCAAGACAAAGGTTAGGAGGATCGATATAAAATATAGAACGTGCGGAGGCTCTATAAATGCAACAAGTCACAATGTAAACTGAAAAGCCTGAAGATCTTTGGTTCAACAGCTGAAGTTTACACATAATATAGGGAGGATGTCTAGGATCACCTTAGGGCGGTCAAGCACCTATCATACACCAAATATCCCAAAGTCCTAGTTAATTGGTTGACAAAGAATAGTGCGCAATTCTAAATTCAAAGTCCCCAATCTCGCCACCAGTAGTATAATACATACTCGAGGTTTGGTGTCTGGGTTTAAGGCAGCCACTACATACCATTCAATCTGAAGTGCTGTGTTCATACTGTAATGCTACCCATTTTTTTCGCACTTGCATTCACTTGCCAATATTTTTTTAGTTGCTGGATTGTATAATGTGTCCAGGTGGCCGAAGCGAAGGCAGGCTCTGATAAGGAGGCAGCAGAAGGACATGGTCACAGGGAGAGAGAGACAAACTCAGAGCCAGCCACACAGGAGAGTCACTATGCTCTGCTGGAGTTTGAGAAACCGGTGACTTGTCTACCAGACTCCATCGCTATTGGTTCCCGACTGGACACTGATGTCCATATCCACCGCAGTCACTGCTGTAGCTATACATGATGCAGTAGATCACTCCACATACACTGGCATAACAGCAGTGCTATATATAAATCACCAGCCTTTGGTCAAATCCACCACACTCACTGCTTTAGCCGAAGCACACTACTTCATGTAACGTAACAGTGCTAGAAATCACCAGCCTTTGCTGCACAATAAATTATGGTAAACTTTATAAAGTGAAGTGGTCCCATTGCAGTTAGAGTGTGCATCTTTTGATCCAAGTTTTGCATCAATTCAGTCGACACAAAACTCATCCATAATTATGGTGGATTCCTTAGCAGACTCTATTCACATAGCAATATTTGTCGGATTGCCTTCCACGGAGTGTTGGTCCACACCATGAGGGAGAGGGACTACGCCTCGAGTGTCCTCCCACGGATCAAGGTCTTCAAACTCAAGTTCAGACAAGGCATCGTTGAGAGGGTATGATGTCATTACGGTGTATGGTATTGAACATGTTAGGACACCAGAGGAATGGCACATATGCACCCACCACAGATATCCTATATATTTTCTTGGACAGCACTAAATACAGGTCATTCTAATGATCTAGTAGAAACTTCCTTCAATAGTACCAATATCTTACGCGTGCGTGTCATAATACGCCGAGGGTTTGCACTTCAGTGCTTTTCATCTTGGACAGCACTAAATAAAGGTCATTCTAATGATCTAGTAGAAACTGCCTTCAATAGTACCAATATCCCTGCATGAACTTAAACTCCCCCAGTAAACTTGATACATGGCCTGCAAATCAGCATGTTTTGCACAAACACCAAGAACACTTATGCTTTACTGTTCAGAATTGCATGTATACAATGATAGAGAATCAGGTTATGGCTCAATAAGCTGCTAAACCACACCCAAGACAATAATTATTTTTTTCACATCTTGACTTTGTAAAACCAAGGGTAAAGCTATAAAGCATCAGGTTGTTGCTATCTGTTTAAGCTACACAGAACAACAATCTGACCTGAGGTTCTGCAAAAGCAAGACCTTCAAGCCATTTGTCCTGTTACTACATACAAGGATATATGATCTATGATGTATAAATAGATACACGATGAGAGGTCAGTGATTGGGAAGAGTCTGTTCAAGAAGGAGACCAACATACAGCCATTTGTGGGGCTCCGAGTCCAACTGTCAACAGGTTAGCAATCCTTTCACTAAAATGTACTCCACTTACGTGACTCACGAGAGAGGGGACAGATCCCTGAAAAATTGGTCACAAAAATTGGGAGGGTTCACATTAATGAAGTTGCAAAATCATGCGCACTATGTACTTGGGACGACTGCCTATATATTATATTATATTTACATTTTGCTGGTAGTTTTATACTGCCCAGTGCTGTTGTGTGTACATTTGGTGTGCAGGGGAAGTGGGTACGATTGAGGGCAGTTTTGGAGCCAGTGGAAAGTTCAGAGTGGCAATCCCAGGTCGGTGTCTCTTTGTCTATGCATAAGGTTTAAATATCTGCCATTCACACAGAGGGTTTGAAAGAAACAACACAGCAAATCTTGGCTGCTGCCAGCAGAAAGAAAGGCAAAGGGAAAGGTAAGGCCAAGAAACGACACTGCCTCTTGTACTACACATGCCGTAAGTACTGTGCCTTGTGAGCAGTATTGTGGGGTCAAGAACAGCTCGCTTCTTTGGGTGTTTGATGCACTTGTCTAATGTTATACAGCGAACAAGGACACTATGGAGCCAAAGTTTTTTCCCTTGTAGAGAGGCCGTCCCCTATAAATAGTACACTAAAGTATTAAGTATGGGGTTGAAACACAAGTGTCCTTTGTAGGGAGGTTGTCCATATCTCAGAGGGTCCCTTATCAGAGGTTCCACTGTACACCCCATGTTTAATTGCGTGACATTCACCGATAGCTGCAGGTGTTCAAGACGATGCAACAGGTGAACCGGTGAAGATCACACTCACATTCAGAAAGTACATATTTGATCCTCACAAACGAATGCTCCAGTGATAGCCAATATAATCATCATTATTTTTTATGCGTGCTACAAATGCGTCTGTTGTTATACAGTAGCGGCTATGATAAAGGACACTCCAAATAAAAGAAAAATAAACCTATCAATAAAGGACACACTTCGAAGTTCTATTCCAAAGAGGACAACTTCCCTATATATAAAGGACAAAAGTACCTTGTCCCATTATTCGGAGGTTCCGCTGTACTTAAAGTGGCGTGAACTGAAACTAAGCAAGTAAAAACCAAAATGTTTACAAAACTCGGCATAACACGGAAATTGAAAACACCTAATTCATTTCGAACATACACAGTGTTAAGTCACATGCAACACAGAGGAGATGAGTTACTTCATGACAATGAGGTTGTTCATGATGTCGAAGCTGTTTCCGTCAGGTCTGAGGTTCAGTTCCTCCCCAGTCTGTGTGACCACTCTTAGGTAGCCAAACTGGTCAATACCTCTCACTGTCACCTCCTCATTGGCGTGACTGCCCAGTTGTACCACTGCATCCCTGAACCAGTACATACACCCATGACAGACTTTTATATATAGAAGCTTAAAATATTTCCCTATGCATACTGATGAACATAGATGTGTAATGCTAGAACATTAAGCATCACAGTTTGTTTCACATACATACTAGCTTTTTACTCTGAAATCTGTATTTTTAATGCTACAGTCACTACGCATGAAGAGAGCTTTGCTACCAAGTGTATATTTGCTATGACGTGCAGTTAAAGCTCCAAACATTATGGGATAGGGAATAATTGTCATTGCTTAATTCAATAGAATGGCAGGATTCAGTTCAGAATGCCAAGTCACACACATTACGGTCTGGCAAGCTGGACAATTCCGGTTTGTGTGCAAAATGTCAATGTATCAAGCGACAATTACGACTCTGGAAATGTGCAGCACTAGCTATGAAAAGGGTAGTAGTAGGCGGCAGAGGATCTTACTTGTGTAGCCAGTAGTGGTAGTAGTCTGTCTCAATGGCGGACATCCCAGAGTGCTCGTAGAGACTGAGGTACCTCTCCAGACGGTTGAGGGACAGAGCTAGCAGAGCCTCCACGGTGAACGGTGGAAGAATTATACCACCACCTCTACTACTGCTACTGGTACTGCTGCTGCTGTGTGTGGTGTTGTTGTGTAGCTGTATGCAGTCATTGACAGACATGGTCGGGTACTTGTTGCTCACATTCACACCACAACCTATCAGAAAAATCGAAGAAAATGCATCAAATAAAAAAAATCTGTATCAGCTTTTCTTTTGCAGTACGTTACTATACTGGTCGCAATGAGTTAATGAGGTGAAAAAAGGCAAAAAAAGTGGTGCATGTGGGATTAAAACCTGCTACCCTCACATATGATGGGGAGAGAAGAAGTAGGCAGTGCTATTGGAGGGCTCACCAATGACTGCAGTGGTGGGAGAGGTTGGGTCGCTGGCAGAGAAGACAGACACCAAGACTCCACCAAGCTTCACTCTATTCTGGTAGTAGATATCGTTGGGCCACTTGATACACACCGGCAGCTCCTGTAATTATTAAGAAGCTTCTCAGGTCGTGTCTGTATATATTTGAGGAGCCCTTTCTCTAATGCCAGCTATGTGGCTTCTGCTTTAAGACTTGCTAATGTTGTGCTATGTACAGGGTAATGGCAAATTTTCATTTGGGACATGGTTCTAACACAGTAGCAATGCTGGTATATATCAACATGCAGAGAAAAGGTCAGCAGTAGAATGTTTACTCATGGACCTTACTGTGTGGCACGCTCAAGACCACTCACTGAGTGTACAAACCCACCCAGTAATGTTTATAGACCCACTTCGTATCCTGGTGCAGTACGAATGGCGGTGACGACAGAGAGGGCCACGATGTGCTGGAGGAGGGAGAGGTGAGCGAGGAGGTGTGACCGAGGTCTCAGTGCTAGTGGACATGAGAACATCATACAACCCTTGGGAGACAGCCAGGCATTGTCGTGCCTCCCTGTACATACATAGCACAACATTAGCAAGGTATTAACATACAACCCTTGGGAGACAGCCAGGCATTGTCGTGCCTCCCTGTACATACATAGCACAACATTAGCAAGGTATTAACATACAACCCTTGGAGACAGCCAGGCATGTCGTGCCTCCCTGTACATACATAGCACAACATTAGCAAGGTCATACAGTTCTTTAATGCAAGCACGGGTAGCTGTGTTGCTTGCCTTGTTGAAAACAAATAGGTCATCATGCAGTGTAGGTTTTTAACCCTCGGCGCGCATGCGCAGCGAGGGTTACAGTAGTTGGTCTGTCTGTGTGTGTCTGTCTGTTACTCTTCATCTCACTTCTCGAGTGTTCTTTCGTCTCACAAAGGATACCACCTACTGAACGGGCAATGAAGGTCAGAATTCGAACGGTTTTCTCTGAAAACGCTCCGTTGCAAAGCTAGAACGGAAAAAAGCCAATATGCAAATACACAACGGCTACTACGGCGTGATCGATCCGCGTGCTCTGCTTACCTCGGAGGCACCAGAAGATGCAAACGCAGGGCGTGTATCGCCTCTCGCATGCTATCTAGTAGTGTAGTTAGCCCGCGTCAGACTCTGCGCGAGCTGGCAAGAGACCACGAGTAACAGCTAAACTAAACCCAGCCCATCAATTAGTGGTACGGCGCATGCGTTTACTTACGCGCGCGCGTCACAGTGCGCCGAGGGTTTGCACTTCAGTGTGTATGGGAAGTGCGTGGTGGGTGAGGCATAGACATAACAAGTTTCGCATCTCTATACACATTCACTAGAGAGTTGCTATACTATAGCTAATGTCTTGTAAATAGGCATGTTACTGAAACAGACACATTTTTGCACCGGGCCCTATTGTTTAGCATTTCTAAATTTATCCCTTATATATATAGTGCAAACCATACTGCATTGAGGGTGGAAATCTATGCATGCAAGCATTGCTAAAGTCCCACCAGTGGTCCTGTTGCATTCCCTCCAACAGCAACCAGTTTATTTACCTCTTCCCTGGGTCTGCTGACCAGCCACACAAACCACACCCATCTCTGGTCTCAGAGCCCGAGTGAACACCAAGTTCCCCGTGAGCATAGTCTGCGTGGACCCAATCACTGGGGTATAAAGCAGGGTCCTCCCCATGTGTCCCGTATGGAGTAGCTTTCTTGTACTGGCAATATCAAATCCCAGTCATCTAGGTCTCCCTGTAGTGGTCTGGTGAGTAGGACTATCTTGTTGGGGCAGGGGTGGTGGAGGATCGACCGACGAGCCTTCAATGGCAGGGTCACTCGTCATAGTTTCCAAATATCCCACTCCATTGCCTTTCACCACCCTTCCTTCACTAGTGGAGCCATCACAGAATGAAACCGCGCCCTCAACTGTAAGTACAGTGAAGCAAAAATAATTTGGAATTGTCCCACTCTCATCCAAAGTATATAAAGTGCAGGTAACCGAAGGTTATACTACTACTACTTCTTACTATGCCACATGTAAAAGGGCATACAGGGGTTTCATACAGTTACAACCACAGCACAAGACAAAGGCAAACCTTAAACGACTATGCATATGGGACAGATTATATATACCTGGTCAGAAAACACAAGATAGGAGAGTGGTTGGAGTAACCACTCTCTCCTTTGGAGCACTTCCATCCCAATCTCCAAGAACGGACTGAAATAAATCAAGAACATTTTGGGCATCATTTTTGAGAGTCCATAGTGAGAGACGCCGACGGTGGAGTCTTCAGAACTGGGAGTTGATAGAAGATCCACGAGAGAGAGAAACAAACTTGCCCAGAACCTCCCTCAAACTTGCAGTCTGGTGAATGCAATCACACATACTGAGGTTTTTCAACTTTTCGACTCATCGTTCTCCAATCTTCCGCCAACACCCCAATTCCACCTCGCTCCTCTTCTCAATCCCCTCCCCATTACATTCCTACTTCACTCCTCCTCCCCTTCTTTTCCTTGTGGACCTTCGCGTTCAGCCGTACCATTCTTGCATGGTCCAGCGGACACTCAGGACTCACCTCTCCATTTGCCCAGGGCTCTTGAAGTCTTCTGCTGCGGAAGTTGTAGAAAGAGCATTCTGGAAAATTCTCCACGCGGGGGTGCCACAGGTTCGAGGCAACTTATCCATTTCATGGGTTTTAATCTGTGGGGTGGACCCTGTAATCGCAACCCAGTTCTGGACCGTTGAAAAGTTCCGCCGGCAGTTGATAGAGTTGAAACCCTAAACGCAGCAGCGTTCGTAGTATAGTGCGTTGCTTCAGCAGCATCGTACTACAGTTCTTGGGAGTAAGACTCGAGCTCCCCGCCAAGCACATGCGGACACGTTCCGGTAGTGCAGGACACGGACGAACGACCAGGAAGGCATGCAGTTTGGTCACTCCCCAACGGAACTCGACCGGCGTCTTTTCTTTTTTTCCAAATGCAGGTTTTTCACCCGCGGGTACACACTTATGCGCTGTGATAGAGGAGCAGGAACGAGATTCAGGCACTCCTGAAGGCGAGAAGAAAAGCAAGGATGAGAGAAAAAGGGATGTGGTTTTGTTGGGAACCCTCGCTGTTGGGCGGGCCACACAGGACGAGGGGACGGTTGGGAGGTGTATGCTGATTTCCAAGGATCATTAGTCAGCTTTCCGCAGGGGGGGCTGCGGGTTGGGGGTTAGGGGTGGTACAAGAAGAAGCGGGATACAAGAAACACCAAGACACGCCTAAATGCAAAAACCTGCATTTGTTGGGCCAGGGGAGGAAGGAAAAGGTAAAGGAAAGCAGGGATCTTCGACGGCACCGAACGGAGAGTTGCA